CTGGTTGGCTGGGTGGCTGGGTGGCTACAGACTCAGGACCGGGAATGAAAGCCATACATGCATGAACGCCCTGTTGAGTAGCAGCATAGATCGGCGTGGAACCGGGTGATACGTCAGCGATGTAGTGGGTGAAGGTCCAGCCGTCTGTGCTGGCGCCAGTTGGGATTGTGCGCGAGATGCTGTGGGAACATTGTAGCAGTAGTGGCGTCGCAGATTCTGTACGTGGATGTGGGTGGTAGGTGTTGCCTGCGCAACGTCTGTCTTGGTCCTTTGGGTTGGGCATGTTACAGAACGATTGCTGTAGATTGAATGAATCATACCTGCCTGTTCTCCAGTACACGGGATGGGGGAAGGATTGTCTGGGTATTCAGGGTAAAGCGTTGCTGTCGATGAGGTCGATGAACGATTCAGATAGGCGGCCTCGCATTGCACAAAAGCCAAGTTACCTGGGGGCTGGCTGTGGAAGACAGACAGAGAGACAGCCAGCCGGACGGACAGACAGACAGACAGATAGACGCAGTCCTTTTGCCGAAGGCATGCAGACAAGCAAGGCCTGTGAATCTGCAGTGTCGGTGTCGGCCTGTGCTCAACAGACTTCAACGCACATACATGTCCATGGTGAGTACAGGCTGCATAATTAAGTAAGAGTTCGACACGTCGTGAGTCTACCACTTTTTCAGAGGTTCTGCAGCCTTGGCCGTCTTCAGGCGCATCTTGGACATCACCGCAGAGCTGTTCGATGCGGCCTTGTTGGGTGCCGGGCTTCTGACTTGGCGCAACATGTCGAGATCACGCATTGCTGAAACATGACATCGTGTAGTAGATCCTGCGCCTTTCAAAAAGATCAGGATTCACCACAGATCAGAGCCCCTCTGATACGCTACACCCAGCGGTCCTGCTGCTGTTGCATGGCAACTCGCTTTGCCGCGAAGAGTGGCACGGTCTGGGCAAGCAGTACATATATATATATATAGATAGATAGATACTAAACTCAAGCAACGCGATCATGGTGTAGGGTAGAAACTTTTAACTGCTGCATGATGCTGCTACCTAGGGCTAAGCTTGTGACACCGGCATAATCTCATGTTGCCGAAGCAGTCCCTGAAGTTTTGCTACGGTCCATGGTGCCTTCTCACCCATGCTCGGGAATATCTAAGCCCGACATCTTCATATCCTTCACAGATGTCAGCCAGGTTGCACCGAACACATCGCTTGTTTTGGCATTCTCCAATAGCTCCTCAAGGCTCAAAACCAACCAAGCACACTCACAGACTTCAGTGTTCTCAGGATTCTGGAAGGCAGCGCAAGCCACAAGATCTTCTCCGATTGCCTTCTTGGGCTGCGCGTACGCGGATGCCAAGGTCATTGGAGGCTGCGCCGGCGTCGGTGCAGCTTTGACCTCTGAAAAGACAACGGCTTTGTTTGAGCCCTGTGTCTTTACATCCTGCACGCGTAAAAACAAACTCATGCACCCGCGCCGCTCCGACACACCTGCCGACTGCACCAACATCAAAGAAACTGGGAAAAGGACGCCAACCTTCAAAACCCTGGTGGCCCATAATCCCAGCCTTCTCCGAAAGCACAGCTGGCTTCGTTTGTGCAGGAGGCAGTAAGGACTGCGGTAGCGGGAAGCGGAAGATCTGCGCGGCCTCTGCCCGGTCCTCTGCGTTTAAGCTTCATGTTGAGCCTCTGCCCGGTTTTCTGCGTTAAAGCCTCCTGTTGAGCAGGTGCAAGTGTGTCAACTCCATATCACACCACAAGCCAGGCACCTCTGATAGCAGATAGAGGTTGCTGCCCGCACTGCACATGGAGCTCCACTGCTTCTGCGCTGGCAGAGGATATCTCTGCACCATCTTGCCTCACGATTGACGCAGAGAGTGATAGAGAGCGAGAGCGAGAGCGAGAGCGAGAGCGAGAGCGAACGAGCGAGCGAGATTTACATTCACACTCAGATTGGGCTGAGATTGAGAGTGCCCAAGCCACGGCAGGCCAGGTCACGAAGCTAGTGCAAGTCTGCCCCATGAGCCCCGATGCGATACCTGGCTAGTTACCTGCTTAAATGCACTCACTCCATGCCTGACTGGCGGAGGTCGAAGACGCGCAGCTCCCTCCCTCCAGTCACCAACCTGGCCCCGAGAAATGACTCGAATGCACGAAAACACAACTTCACCAAAAAGAAGACATGGCAGCGACATTGAGCGTGTGGTGCTGCCAAGATGCATTGCCAAATAGCGGTCGCCAAGCGTGTGGAGAGCGGCGCCTGCGGTTCGAGTCTTGAGCGGTTGCCTGCGCTTGCACATCTTTCTCGTATGGCTATGCTTATGCCTCTGTGCTATGGCATGAGGAATGGTAAACCTGCTTGTATACAAACGGACTCAGTTCGCTCCTGCACGCACTCAACCCTGGTCGGTCCTTTCCGCATCGCTGCACGACCAACATCTGCTAAAAGGACTCGGGTCGGCAACCAGTCCACAGAGCCTTGCGGAGGTAAAGATCGGAGAGACCCGCCCCAATTACCCTGACGTACCCTGACTCCCTCCCCACACTGACCCATACCCGGAGCACCTTGCACCAGTCCAGACTTGAGCTCCACTAGACGACCACCCGTGGTCTCTGCGTAGGCGCAACGCTCTGAACCTGGGAGGCTGCATGCCCACAAAAGTCGAGGTATTCTTGAGGTGTCAGGTTCGCAGTGCTGGGTATTGGAAACTTCACAGTGCGATCCAGGCACCGCTAATGCAGCGATCCATCATGGCGAGGGATGAAACCTGTCGTGTACGGTCACGATCCCCTGCACTCTTCGTCACGCGCAGGGCACACATACCGGCCCCTGTTACTCACATGACTAGTCCGCGAGAAGCCTCAAGCCTTCCCCAAGAAAAGCTAGAGGAAATCGCCGCGCTCGAAATTCCCGATGCCTCCTCCTGGGACTCGTCGCGGGCTGCATCTCCCTGGCCCAGCCAGGTGTCACCCAGTGACATCACAGCCTGACAACTCAGGACGCTCAGGATCGGGAGATTACTTGGGATGGCCCCGACCACAGCCTCCGGAGCCCGAGCCGCAGCGCCCAGTGCACAACTCGCCAGGCGCTGGCCTTGGCGGTGCAGCACCTGGCGACTGAACGGTCACTGCACAACGCGTCTTTGCACCGCTCTTTCAAGGGCCTGCGCGTGGCAGTCGTGGCCACTGCATAAGAGGCTGAGGTCCTTTCAGACAGCGCACTCCCTGCCTGTTTACATGAAAAACCGTCTCCCTCATTCTCCCGAACCCCGACATACCCCGTCTCCTGGAGCGCCTCACCTTCCTCGGATGCAGAGACCCAGCACAAGAACTGACGCAGTGGAACCCGGCTAAGAGCATCTACCCTCACCGACCCTCACCCACATCTACACGTGCGCACCTCTCAACAGTAAACTCAGCTGCGATCATGCTGAATCGTCAATCTGCTGCCAAGGCTTCCAAATCATCACAGACAGGAGCAAAATGGAATTCGGCACTGGAGTTGCCGGGGCTGCTGGCATTGCTCTTCCTCGCCGCGAGACGAGCTGAATATTGCGACCCCCATCCAAGCCTCTCAGTTGCGCTGGCAGTGCCGTCGAGGTGCAGGCCAGTGTTAAGCGTTGCCTAGCGACAGATGCAATATCTGCAGTGCGTGCTCTCGACCGCAAGGCCTCGAAAAGGCCGAAACGGCTGCTGGCGGCGAAGCGCACGGCTCCATCTGCCGATGCACAGGAGAGGTGCCTCGCAACAGCCATGCGGCCCGGAGCGAGCGAATGCCGGCTTGCCGCATGCCTCGGAGAGGCTCCTGGAGGCCAGAACGTGGCGACGTGCTCCTTGTCAGTTTCAGCAAGGGATGCAGGGAGACGGGAGGGCGAAAGACGCAAGCGGAGAAAGAATTTTGCGAGGAATTAGTTTCTGCCATGCATCTCCACGCAAAGACTCAGCAATGGGATTTGGCTGGATTGTGACCTCCTCCAGCCTCAGAGTTGCAGGCGCTCGAATCGCCTACCAAGCCCGCAGCTCCAACAGAAGCTGGTGAGTTTTCGAGCCACGAGACAGAAAGGACGCGGTCTGCGTTTGCTCGATTGGCGCAGGCCCCTCCTGTGGTCCGAGTCCACCGCTGTGCTCGAATAATCGCCGTGCACTGACTTAGCAAGACGTAGAGCTTGCAACTTCGTCGAAGAGAACTTACTGGCTGCGCGCTGTCGGAAGCCCGCAACAACGATTTCCATCTCGTCTACCTGCTAGGTCCCCAACCCTGCACCTCCGAGTCATGGAGAAGCGGCGAGACGCGCAGCGCAGACCATCCAGAAGACTCGCAGGGGCGTGCACGGGTGCATACGTCGGCCCGATCTCTCTACACGTCTAAGATCAATGAGCTTCCGCTACCTGAAGCAGGACAAGCACTCCGGAGATCCACCAGAGGACCAGGAGCCTCAGTTTGCTTTCCAACTTCAACACAAGTACGACATCAGCTTCGCATGCACACTGGCTCAAGCCACAGGCCAAGCGGCAACGTGGTCGCTGAGCAGAAGATTCGCCAGGGCACTACACCCGGCTTGAGGTAAGGGTGGATGTCCTGAACGAAGCCCCTTCGACGAAGCCAAACAGAAGTCCATGCACCGCCTGGGTTGAATCGTCTCAGAACGCAGTCCTCTGCGTGATTCGCGTGCTGTCCATCCTGCCGAAGGGGCTTCGGGCTGCAAGCACAAGCAACATCGTAATGCTACGCGAAGCATGCATATTCTGTCCTTCTCCCTCGGGACAAAAGTTGTCGGATCGAACATTTCCTCGGCTCGATTCCATGATACTTTACCTTCGCTCAATTGCAAGCCGGTCCTTGCAGGACAGCAAAGCAGAACACTGCCAGCCCGAATCACTTAGCGATCAGGAGGAGAGCGGGGCATCACCTTCCCATGTCAGAATGTCCTACCACCTGAATCTGAATTCGCCGGGTCGCTTTAGTGGCCAAGGTCTCTGGAGGAGGCTTGGCAGCACCTGCTAGAAACAATCATTGCAAATTGGAAATAAGCGCGTAGGGCGCCGCAGCATCAGAAACTGTGCAAAGATGTTCGATCCCCAAATCAACGTAGGACCCATCACCAAATCAATGTAATATACTGCAACATGATATGATACATGAGCAACAGCTTAGCAAAAACTAACATGTTATATTGTGTAGTATAGGATAGCACAGCGTAGCAAATTGCTGCCTACTTTCTATGACATGACATTAGATAACATGAACAGAGTATAGCATGATACAACATGACACAGCATCATACAGCATAACATAGCATGATAAACATAAAAACAATATGATAGAACAAAATATTGTATAAGCATGGCACAGTACCGTATGGCAGAGTGTAGTGTATACCGTTTCGCATAGTAACGCACAGTATAGTATAGTCTAGTCTAGTCTAGTCTCGCACTAGAACAGAACACAACGGAATGGATAGAATATACTCTGGTAGATGGTTCATTACATATGACACGTTATATGGCATATGGCATGTGGCATATATAACATGACATGGGTATATGGAAGATTCGATAAGAACATATGACTATCTGATCTCTGAAAACATGATAAATGATATATGGTATATGATATGCGAAATGTGAGGTGAGGTGAGGTGAGCATCGACCTTGTCACGAGCCTGGCATAACAAAAAAAGGCGGCCCCTCCGGCGCAAGGCCTAAAGAACAGCCACAGCAACACAACAAATCAAACAATCAGCAAGAACCAACAGCACGACCACGAGCAGCGCGTGGCCGGGCGTAAAAATGGCATAGCACGCTTCCCAACAGATGTAGCCCCTGCGCATCCGCATGCTCACTCACCGCACGCATTTCCTGAGCAAGGTGCCATGGCAAAATCTCAGCCATCCCGGCTGCAGACAGGTGCACAACCAGTGTACCTTCGGAGTGTCGGAATGAAGCCCAAGGTTACTGGCAACACTCCCCGCATGAGCGAGATGTGAAATGAGACACAGGACATATGATATGTGATATGCGGTGTATGATGCTGAGTGTATGATATAAGTCATATGCTAAATCGTACCTATCAATATCTAGATCTGTAGCGTTATGCAAGTTATGCTTATCTACCAGTACCTATATCTATAACTATATCGCATCTATGCTTATATATTCCTTGTATGTGTGTAGATGTATGTCATGATGATACTGTATGTGATATACAGCATACAATATATGATATATTGGGATCTCATGCATATACTGTACTGTATACTCAGCAGATTTTCAAGGTTTGCCATTTGCCCCTAGCAGCGCCTGGCAGCAGCTCTGGCCGCCGCGGAGCTGGGCCTGCGAAAGTTTGTTCCATGTGGTTAGAGCACGACAATCTGGAAACGGATCTTGCAAGCCGTTCGTCTAGTACATGGCCTTTCCAGTGACGGCCACGGCATGGTGTTGATGGGGATGTTGTGATCAAGTCGGGCGCAAAGGGTCAATTCACAGAGGCCGGACTATGTAGAAAGTAATTCACAATGTTTGCCGGTCAAGTTCTTGCACACCGCCCCCCCCGAATGCTCTCAGATCTCAAAACCCCAGGCACTCGGCCGTTCGCTTCAGACTCATGACCCTGCTCAATATTCCAAACAATACAGCCAAGTCAACCAAAGCAACGAGCAAGCTCCGAATCCCGATCCTAACAGCCTAACGGCGCCGCTATGGTGGTGCCTTTCAAGAGTCTGCCATCGTAGTGTACAGCATCCAGCGCTGGACCTCGTCCCGGCTGAGGCACCTTGTTTGCCACAGAAAAAGCCCACTGAACCACTGCATGCTTCTCTTTTTCGGTGGAAAACCTAAATGTAGCCCAGGCACTGCAGCCTCTGCAGGAGACGGGAGGCGGCGTGTCTCTTCGGACACCCGCGGCTCCCAGGGGCTGGCCTGAAACACCACAATCTTAAGGCACGAAGGCACGAACAAGATCTGCGGAGATTCCTCGTCCCGTCTGGCCTGGCCCTCTTTCTGAGCGCGAGCTCGTTTGATCCAGCCGAAGACGTCGATGTACCTGGGCAATTTCGCGGTCAGTTCAGACCCAAGCGCTGAAGAGCTGCAAGCTGAGAGTATTTCCGGCCAGGTCACATGACTGACCGGAACCCGGTGGGAAGCGTCGCTCCACCTTCCTGTTCTTGGACCTGTTCAGACCCAACTGCTCAACCTGCCGTCCTCATCCGTCTCTGCCCGTCGCAACTTCCTGCCTTGCTGATGTACAGCAGCAGCATGAGCCAGGCCGCTTCGGCCGCATAGGGCAGCGGCGCCAAGAGGTGCACCATCTCGTAGCCCTTGACCTGACTAGCTTCGCTGCAGTGTCTGTTCGCTTGCTGCTTTGGCTTGCCGCTTCCTTGACAAGCTCAAACTAAGGGTTTTAGCCAAGCCACCGTGTGCAGCCGCCACTGCTGGGCCGCGAGGGCAGTTAGGACTGGCCCAGCGAAAACCAAAACCTGGGACGGGCCCAGCGAGGATATGCCCCAGACAACGGAAAATCAATGCCGACGGCCTAGTCCTGTGCATTGATTTTGGTTAAAGCAAGCTCGCGGCGTTGCCGAGTGGGCGCATGCTCTTATTCGCCTGGCTAGCTGTGCATTCCTGTTTGCCGGGTCCCTGGTTTGCCCGGCATCTCACGGGACCCATTGTCTTCGCCCGCCTCCCGTGCAGAGATTTCTCTGTTCGTATTGTAGTGTCCAAACTTCCAAATTCCAGATTCGCTGCGCTCAGAGTTTCCGGCTTCCCCAAATCTACAAAGATCTGCAAAGTTGCCAGAACTCACAGGTCTTTAGATATGTTGGACTTAAGTCTCCAAATTCTGGATGCCTGGAATCGTGGAATCTCGAAGCTTGGTTCGGTCAATCTTGGAACGGGCAGACAAACCTGTGGAAGCTGACAACTTCTTGCGAAATCTGGAAATCCGGAAACGGAAGACTCGGTGTCGACGGCCCAGGAATCTGGAAACTGAAACCTGCAGTTCGCACATGTGGATCCACAGGAACTTTGGCCGACACTTGTCGGCCACAATTCGACGGCAGCTGATGCTGCTGCCGCTTGCATAATTCGTAACGCATTTACACGCAGAGAACCGCCTAGGTTAGTTGGATTGTTGATGAAACCGCATGCTGGGTAGGCCGCACATTGGCACATGAGATGAGATCCGAACATACAATGCCTGCTGTAACCATTCAACGGTCAGACAAGCCTTTCACGCTCTATTGTCTTGAACCATATCAGAACACAAGACAGAAAGGCACCCATGAACCTAAAAGCTGATCTCCCTCTTTGTCTCCTGGAGGTTATTCAAGCAAGAAGCCATTGCCGCCCGGAACTCAAAGCCCGTGAGCGACATGTCCAAACGAATCAACCTGCAGCGAGCTTCTGGGGAGAAGGCCGGAAACAACAAGCTTGCTTTCCTACAGGCTACAAGATTTTTGGCTTGGGCAGGCTTGCATCACATGGTCGAGAAACGCAGTCGCGATGACCATGAAGAGGAGCACCACCAGCCAGCAGGCGATGATGGCCTGTGCGACAGGCAGGCCACCGCCCGACGTCGCTTCATTTCCCTCATTTCCCCTCTGGATGCAGTCAACCTAGAACTGCACTCCACGAATGGCCTTATTGGAAATCAACACGTAGCCGATCACCTGAGCTCGAGAGCATGTCTTCGAGGGACGGCACTCGACGCTCCAGAACAAGTTGAGTCAGGCAGCATAGTATGACAGGCCCAAGATCAACTGATTGGTGCCCATGCTCATCGCCACACGCGCGAAGCCATCGTAAGACCTCAATTTTTCCCCATGCCAACTGATCTGCTCAGCTACTCCTGCTGATATGTTGGCCCAGGGTCTGCCAATAGTGCATCACCTGCTTGATCAGCTGCAAGTGGCGCTGCGATGCTGGATCTGTACCTTGACAGGGTTCACGACAGCTCCTGCTCAACGGAGGCTTGCTCGCAGGATTGCAGTGCGATGGCAGGCATTTCTTCACTGACACGCGAAGCCCAGCGACGGAGCTTTCCATCCAGCTCGTAGATGTCTTCCTGGCCATCCCCAATGCCAGCAAACAGACACAAGCTGCCAACTAAGCAGCCAGGCCACTCCGTTGCCCTCGAGGCCCCAGAGGTCTGCAGAGACTGCCGGAGGACCAGTGTCAGTGCCTGCAGAAGTTCGAAAGAAGGGGAACGCGGCAACTTGGAAGGCAGAGGGCTCTCATGGGCAAGTGTCAATGCATCGCAAAGTACCGTTCTGGACTGGAGATGTAAATTTCAAGCAGGCACGGAACTTTCACTTTCTGATTCCTCACTTGTGGGAAGTGTTGATCACTTGCTGCCTCGTGGGAACACACGCCCTAGCGTGTGCTTCCAGGCGATAACTGTAAACGGTGATCTTCAAACAAGATCATCCTCCGATGCACTGCCTGCGGAAGATCTAGACATGCGCAAGACTGGCTAAGTCTGTGGCTGACGGAAACTCCTTCGAATTTCAATGTCCGCACGCATCTGCCAAAGCAGGTGCAACAGCGTGGGTCCAACTATACAAAGCAGGGTGGGTAGCCTCAGCCTTTCTGGACCACGCCGAATAAATGAAAGTCGAACCCTGCTTTGCCAAGTCGTGCCCAGAGAACGATCAGGTGCCCTGTTCGCTAGTCTGCTTTCGTGCGCGCTTGAGGTTAGGGCTTGCGGTTTAGAGACCTGGTTTGTCGGATGAGCTTCTTGTATTCCCTCGCAGTGTCACCAGCATCGTAAGGACTGGACCACTGGGCTTGGCAAAGACTGACTTACTAATAATAATACAGCATGGAAAAGCATAGCAGGAGCCGTGAGGCGAATAAAAGGACTCTGCAATGCACTGCCGCAGCCAAACACGCGCTTGCGAGCGATGGGAAGAATCGATATCCCCCCCGTGCAGTTGTCGATCGGACATGCGACACCCAGATGCATGGAAACGTCTGGCATGTGCATCCACATGATCAAGATCATAGGTCAAGATCATGCCTGGAAGGTGCTTTCTTCATCCGCGGACTGAAACCTGGTTCGCTTCTTTTGCACGATCTCGCGCAACTCATTGGGGTAAAGCGTCACGTCGTCGAGAAACTTGTTCATCTTCCGCAGATGCTTCCTTAGCTGGTACACAGCATATGAATCTTCAACATTGCCTTGCTGACAAACCCAAAACCCCAAAGAACGAGCCAAAGCTGTCTTGCCTGGTGCACTGCCTTCCGTGAACATCCGATAAAAAAATGCAGCTGGGGCTCTCGTGTAAGCGCCGGCCAGGAGGCAGAGGGACACCTCTCGGACTAAAATGGTTGCATCAGCATGACTTCCCCCTACCGCGGGCAGGCACTCGAGATCCGTGCGGTTTCGGTGAGTTTGCAGGGGCAGCTCAAGGCGGTCTGGTCTGCACGCGCCGTCGATTGAATGTCACGACACCACGAACAGACTCCAGCACTGATTCGTGGGCCGCGTGTTGAACCAGTTCACACGATGGTTGATGCCCTGCTGCATGTCATCACGTTCGGCAAATCTCAGCTGCTGCCTGGAATGGTTTACTGAAGCCTATGACTATGATGATTACGTGATTAGGTTCGGCGCCGAAGCAAATGGCTCCAGCCTGGAGGAATCACGTCCTTCGTGGGTGTAGTCTCCCACGTGTACGAGCAAACACTCCAAGATTCGTCGTCGTCTTCACCGTCCTGCTGGACACGTGCGCACACACACATACTCTCACATGTTTGCATTGACTGCTCACGGATGTCCAGCCAAAATCCGAAAGCCAGGAGGTCGTCAAGCTCGTTGTTCCTCAAAGTCCTCACATGAGGAGTCGGACAGGGCACACTTTGGTCCAAAGAAATAGCGCGAGACTTCGATATCCTGTTGGATCAGGTAGCTAGGATACTTGCCAGCATTGGCAGTAACTCCGCTTCTCTGGCAGTCCCAGACTGCCTGAGTCCATACCACATGCCCGGAAGCACTCCTTCCACTTGGCCTGAATCCGAGATCTCCGGCTGCGTGAGTCCTGGATGGATTGGAAGATGTCAGTCGAACAAGGGCGAGAAATCCTGGTCCTGAGGTCGAGCGTGTACTCATCGCACGCGACCGAGCCGGAGCACCCCATTGCGGGCAGAGCAATTACTGAGAGTTACGGAGCGGAACGAGACAATGACAAGATACTGTTTGCAAACGGAATCTCTTTTGCTGTGTATACGTCTTGAGCCGAAAAGACCTTCGGGGATCCTCAAAGCGGAGCACAATCTGCTGTCATGTCCTTACCGAACTCAGGGAGTGCCTTCGGCTGCGCCCTCTTGGTTTCTCAAAGCTGGAGCTGCAGAGCTCGATGCCTCTCCGAGGACCTGAACACGAAGATATCGGGATGCACAGCACGTACACAGAAATTTCCGCGTTTTGGGCACACTCTCTTCAAAGGCTTGCAGACTGCGGTCAAGCGGCTCGCTGCTGCGATCCCATTGCCTGGACAGCAACACACCCTCCTCGTTCTCTTATTTCGGCCCCCGGTCGTGGTCAGCTCAGCCGGCTCCACAAGGCCCAACAGCTCTAATGCAACCAAGCGGCAAAGGGAACTCGAAACATCCTGAGAAGTCGGACAGCAGGCGTGTGTTGATGGATCCGTAGTTTGCTATGCCATGATTGCTTTCTGGAGTGTATGTCGGCGTGTGCTTTTCTCGAGCAAACCAGCCATTTTACGTTTGTTTAAGATATTTTAGCCTTCGACATACAATCTGGAGGGGGGGAGGGGTGGGGGGGGGCGAGGCAAAAAAACAAAATAGTTTTAGTTTTTCTTTTTTTTGGAGAGGGTGGTTGGTGGTCTGGCTTCTTTCTCCTAATATAGCACTCTAATTATTCCCGTTATTGGTGTCATAGAAGCATGAACCTTGTCTTAAAAAAAGATCACAGACTAAAGGAGCTCAGTTAAACATCTCATAACTAGAAAGAGATAGATTGCGTCTATGTTTGTACAACAACACAGGAATACTAACCCTACATGAACCACACAAAACCGGGCCTCCCGGGTGACGCTTTCTGGATTGATATATACATATATAGATATATATATATACACACACACATTATATATATATATATATGTATGTATGTATGTATGTATGTATGTATGTATGTATGCATGTGCATACATGCTTCCATGATCATGCATGTATGCATGTATGTATGTATGTATGTGGGTATGTGGGTATGTATGTATGTATGTATGTATGTATGTACGTACGTATGTATGTATGTATGTATGTATGTATGTACGTATGTATGTATGTATGTATGTATGTATGTATGAATGTATGTGTGTAGCCTATCAACATCACGTAACAAACAATTGAAACCCTGTTGCATTCGTTCAGACTCTTCTCGATATTTACAGAGCACATGCAACTCGATTGTGTACGTGGTATAGCGGCATTAACACTTAGAATAGGACCTGAAGGTATACTCGGAGCCTTAAGAAATTAAGTTAGAAGACGGTGTTGGGGGCATACTAGCTTACAAGAAAATGAGTAACGTTACGGAATACGATTAATATCCCAGCCTCACTCAAGTTCCGAAATTGCGTTCCTACGGACCCGTGCAAAAAGCCTTCTTAAGGAGAAATAACACACTTATTTTGCGTCTCCATTTGTCGAAGTGTCTGGCTTGTTTAGAACTTTTAGTTCTTGGTTTGGGGTCAACGGTGGAACGTTTCTGAAGTGAGCTGGTGCACCTGTGACAAGTGCAGAGTCCGGGATTTCAGGCCCAGGTGGCTGTAGCATCCGAAACCTTAGGCACAAAGCCATCCGCTAGTCTGGGTCCGCTAGATCGTCCACGCAACAGACTCGCATTTTTTCTTGCGCTGTCTTGTTTAAATTCTCACTGATACTGCCGAAGATGATCAGCCCATGCTGGGCCTTGGACCCTACAATGAAGCCGAACAACTTCAAGTACAACATCTTCAACCACAACCAAAGCCTGTAACCCATCGAGCGCCTGGCAACACGACAAAACTCGGTCGTGCCCAGAATAGGGTTTAGGGTTTAGGGTGTAGGGTTTAGCTTACACCCTAAAGCACGAGCAACATCCAAAAACCCTGTGCAACCCTGATTTGGTAGCCGTAAGGAAGATGAAACACGTGCGAAGTTGGGTTCAACTTGCCTTCAGGACTTTGGGTTTTGAAATTAGGGTGTTAGGGTTTCGGCATGCATTCCAGATATGTTCAAGCCAACCACAGCAAACCTTTAATCTAGGGACTTTTGGACGGACCCCTAATAGGGACCCTTAATCCCACTACCTCAAACAACCATTGTATAGTGTTTTTTTACCCCTTATATAGCCAGGTAGTCTTCATATTAGCCCCAATATCCTACAAGGGTCCCTTTAAAAAGCCCTTAGAGTCAGCCCTAAACCCTAAACCCTAAAACCCTAAACCCATATTAACCCAATAACCTACAAGGGTCCCTATTAAGGGTCCCTCCTGAAGCCCTTAGATTTAGCCTTCAAACCTAAACCCTAAACCCTAAAACCCTAAACCCTACAGCCCTAAACTTTAGGGTTCAGGGTCAGGGTCCCTATTAAGGGTCCCTCCTAAAGCCCTTAGATTTAACCTTCAACAAGCTTAGCTCCTGAGGCCCTTCAAAGCTGCAGCTGCAAATCCCGTAGAACATAGGGGCCTTAAGAATTAGAATAGGGTTTTGGGGTTCCTTTAAAGGGCTCCTTAAAGGGTTCTATAAGGGTTTAGGGTTTAGGGGCCGTTAAGAATTAGAATAGGGTTTTGGGGTTCCTTTCAAGGGTTCCTTAAAGGGTTCTATAAGGGCAACTATAAGGTTTAGGGTTTAGGGGCCTCAAGAATTAGAATAGGGCTCCTTTAAAGGGCTACTTAAAAGGGACACTATAAGGGCTACTATAGGGATTGCATAATGTAGGGGCCTTAAGAATTAGAATAGGGCTTTGGGGCCTATTATACTATACTTATAATAAAAAGAACCCTGCAAAATAGTATTTGTATTATTTATCTAGGCCCCTATGTGAGAAACCCTTACAAACCAGATTGAAAGTCCAGCTACTAAGGCAAACGACCTGCGCAGCCCCAACACCCAAAAACCCCTAAACCCTAAACCCTCGTCAGGAAGCCCCGAAACCCACGTAAAACGACTCCTCCGCCCAGGTGCTTTCCGGGCCCTAGAGCGGGTTTAGGGTTTAGGGAGCCCTAGACGAAATCTCTAAATCTCTCAACCTGGGCCCTGTGCTGCCGCATCGGCTGCAGCTTCCGCGGCAGCCTTGGCCGAAGCTGCCTGCATGGTGAGAGCAGGGAGCGACTACTTGGAGGATCGTGGGACTTAGTAAGTAAGGCTATAAGTGCCCTAATTGGGCTTATAAGTATAGTTAGCTTAGTTATAACCCTACTTACTAAGTCCCATGATCCTTTAAGTACAGTAGAAGCCCAAGAAATGGAAAGTCAATCGCCTCCGTCCTGAAGAGTAATGTAAAAGGAACCCCAGCACTAATTGTCCTTAATCCGGTTTCCAACTTTTTGGGGTTTACTGTAAACTGCCTTAAACCTTGATGCCTAAACCCTAAACCCTACTGGTACAAGCTTTAACTCGACAAAGCTAACCCTATGGCTTTTCAGCCCTCTGCAGGGCACAAGCTGAACAGGTCCGGGGGTTTTGGGAAGCACCAATCCCTGAACCCGAAACCCAAGAAGCCTATCATACAACCCGAAACCGTCACCTCTCAACCCCAGATCTGTAGACCCTAGATACTCCCAAACCGTAGCACAATCGCTCTCTAGGGCTTTGTAATGCTACAACGGTGCACGGAAAACACCAAGCCATGAATTTTAGTTCAAGGGATTTGGTTTTGTTGGGGCGAAGGGTTTCCGGAGCTTGTCAATACTTTGTCGGACTTTAGTGTGGCCTCATGTTGCAGTGATAAAGGGTAAGACGCCGTGGGTCCTTTTAGAGCTCAGGTGTAAGGGTTTCGGGCGCCAAGCTTACGCCTTAGAACCCAAGATGGAAGAGATCACAACCGCATCAACAGCCCGACGAGTTCCTGACAACAGCCCCATAAGGGTTTCGAATACTCTACAGCCAACCCCCCAAGCCGCGCCGTAGCAATGTGACACCCTAAACATCGCACCCTAAACATGGCACCCGTGATGCGAAAGGGATGCAGGGAAGCGAATTTTCGCGCTTCTGCAACGTGCTTTCGGGTTTATAGGGGTATAGGAGCGTACTTGGAGGTTCATGGGTAGTTATAACTGGAGTTATAAGTCCCCTAATATAGGTTATAAGTATGGTTACTGTACTTCTAAGCCCACTTATAACTACCCATGAACCTCCAAGTAGGGCCTCGTTTAGGGTTTCGGGCTTAGGGTTTCCGGGTTTAGCCCCACCCCATGGAGTGGTCTCACCTCGCGCCGTTTTCGTCCTGTGGAACCTTCCCACACTTGGAGGTTAATGGGTAGTTATAAGTGGAGTTATAAGTCCCCTAATATAGATTATAACTATAGTTACCCTACTTATAACCCTACTTACAAGTACCCAAGAACCTCCAAGCAACCAAATGGAGCACCAGTCGGCCGTCCCCCTGCGTCACTGCCAGAGTCGCAGGCTGGGAGATAAGGGGAAGCCGCAGACTCCTATATCCCTTAATTAAGGAATAAGGTATTAGAGGGTTTAGGGTTTAGGGTTTAGGGTTCAGGGTTTAGGGTTTAGACTCCAGTATCCCTTAATGAAGGAATATACCTGAAATTATAGTAGGCTCCATAATATGATTGAAGGTATATTCCTTAATTAAGGGATATTGGAGTCTCTGGGAAGCCTATTTTGATTGTTCTGCCCCATGGCTAGCAGTGCCTAATCAGGTTTGGCAGACTCGGTCTTCCCACCCATTCAGATGCGAGTCCATCTAAATGTAGGGGCCTAAATAATTACCAAAATACATATATATATATATACATATATATACATATATATATATATATACATATATATATATATATAGGGGGGGAGGGGTCCTCATAAGAATTATAGTATAATGGCCCCCAAAACCCTATTCAAATTATTAAGGCCCCTGTATTACTCCCTCTGCGACTGAATGCAGCTGGGGCATGCCGCACGTATGCCTGCCGGAGTGCCCGGAGGTGCTGTTGTAGGGGCAGTGGCCCGTTCAAGCCCTTGGGCCGTTCAGCAGTGTCACGGCTGAATGGGTATTTTTAACCCTAAACCCTAAACCCTACCATTTGTTTGCAAAGCCCAAGCAGACTGCCACGATTGGCCTCCGAGTTTTATGATGTCAAGGAGGGAAGGGCATAGGGGTACTACCGAACATGAGCCATTTTAGAACCTACAAGTTACAAGAAGCCTATAGAAACCCCACAAACCCCCTCAAAAGCACCCTGTGCTGAGATGCAGCAAACCCGGAACCCAAAACCCCTAAACGCTCGCTTACACCGTATTCCGGCCTCACTGCGAGGCATGGCCGCCTGCCACGGAAGCGATCGCAGGCTTGCATTTAGGTTTATTTAGAATACGGTTTAGAGTTTAGCGTTTGAAGGGTTTTTGCAGCAGGGTTCTATAAGGAAGCATATAAGGGATTATCGACTGTAGAGGCGTTAATGCTTAGAACAGGGTGTTGGGGAAATATTCTAGTATAGATAGCTTTCTAAATTAGGCCCGTTTTGAGGATCCTTTTGATTAGGGTGCCGTACTATCTTGCGGACCTCCAAAAGGACCCAATTTAGAGAACTACCCATATAGGGGAACTACTTGGAGGATCATGCGACTTAGTAAGTAAGGTTATAAGTCCCCGAATTGGGGTTATACGTATAGTTAGCTTAGTTATAACCCTACTTACTGAGTCCCATGACCCTTTAAGTATGACGGGACAGTATTAGTAATCATTCCGACCTCTCGATTCAGGCTTGGGGGTGTGCGCTGAAGCCTCCTTTTGGCACGGCGGGGCATCTTGTTGTTGAAAGGACTTAAGGTAGGGGCCTTAATAATGAGAATAGGGTTTGCGGGTCCATTATACTAGGATTATACTAAGGGACCCCCAAAATAGTATGGGTAGTTATTTAGGCCCCTATAGTACTTTCGCCAAGGTTTTGGGGTCCAGGGCTTTAGTGATCAGGGTTTGAAGGTCCCCTATAAACCCTAAACCCCTAAATCCCAAAACCCTAATAAACCCCTAAAACCTAAACCCCTAAACCCCCAAAGCCTTAACCGCTAAACCCCTAAACCCTGAGCCCCCAAAGCCTAGACCCTAAACCCTGAGACAAGACTGTTGGGCTTCACGGCCCAGAGTTTAGCCCAACTCTTGGTAAACCCTTAGGAAGACAAGGGCAAAGTTTAGGGTTTAGGGCTTTAGGGTTTTGGGTTTAGGGTTCAGGGTTTCAGGGGACCTATACGTTTTGTTTTAAAGTTGAAAAGCACCCTTTCTGTGAATCCGAGCGCTGGCCCTCAAGGGACTCAGGGTTTAGGGTTTAGGGTTGGGGGACTGGTATACTTGGGAAGCAAGGGTAAAAGTAGGCTAAGCGCTTAGGATCATGACGCATAACCCCAATTACAGTAGGTTTGACCCTTCTTGCTTTGAAGCTCCTACAAACTTCAGCCCTAATCCCCCCCTAAACCCTAAACCCTAAACCGTCCCCAAGCACGAAGCTGATCCGAAACCTCTGAGATCCACACAGCTAACTATGTTGAACCAGGCCTTCATGATTAGAATATATCAGAGTGGGGGTTTGGGGTCAATAAATTTAAGGAAGCTACCGGTGGGGAGTTTGGGGGTATGTAGGGCTTCTATAAGGCCTCCATCAGGTATATAGACCTTCTATAAGGCTCCTATAACGGTAACTACCCGCCTGAAAATGTCCTAGAAGAAAAGTATATAGAACTGTACTAGGGACTAGAAGGCCCCATCCTTCTGATCAGCAAGTACTTTTAATGACAAGTGGAAGTCCGAGTTCTTGTTAAGGGACGTTTCACTTGAAGTGACCATAATAGGGATCTATAGTGAATAATATGGTTTCTGTATTATGGTAACTTAAATAAACCTAAACCCTAAACCCTAAACCCTAAACCCCTAAACCCTAAACCCTAAACCCCTAAACCCTAAACCCTAAACCCCCTTAACAGGGCCCAGACGTGGCAAGTGGCAAGACCAAGCCCAAAAGGCTGAGCCCGAAACTGCAGACCCTCAGGTTCATGGGTAGCCATAAGGCTCCTTTAAGAGATCTATAAGGGGTCTTCAAGGGCTCTATAAGCGGTCCTATAAGGGGGATTAAGGAGTCATGCTTGGAGGTTCATGGGTGGTTATGAGTGG